CAATCCGGAGACGGCGAGCACTGAGGCGGTTTGTTGTTTCTGTTCACTGATGTCAGGTTATTTTTATTGTTTTTACACAAACAGACGGTGTGGTTTAGCTGTTTTTGCTCTTGAGACACCCCCAGGGCAGATGTGGGGGTGGTGATGTCTGCGATATTATAAATAACACAATGAGGATGACAGACAGCGTACTCTCTCTTCCCATTCTTCTGTCTCCTTCGTGCCCTGCTACTCATCTATGCTCGACACGAGTGCCTCGGCGTTTGCGTGTGTGGCTTGAATTTATATGAACGTCTCCCAGACGGAGGGGGGGGGGGGGGGGGGGGCAACAGGAGCCGAGTCATTGATATGTGCAGGAGGACTGAGGATAAACAGCCCACGCCGAGCGGTGTTACGCCAGCCTGCCTGATACATTTTGATTGAACGCAGACAGAGAGGTGGGATGGGAAGTTGATGGGATCGGAGAAGCCTGAGAGCAGGGATGAAATGACAGAAGGGAAGCAGCTTTCACCTCCTTCAGACACAAAGCTTCATGCAAATGTTAAGAACCACACATCGGTACACAAACCCGTTCTTTAGAGGAGAACCAACCAAAACCACAGCGCTAACTCTGACTCGTATGTCTGTTGATGTTCTTTTATTCCCTTCCTGATCACGCTTCTTACTCATTTCTTAAATATCCCGTCCTCTATTTTGCTGTTTGTTTTACTGGCATGGTCTCTCCTCTAATGGACGTGGGAAAAGTCCCCTTTTACCTCCTCTCTGGCTTTTTCAGGCAGACAACCAAAATAAGAGGTGGCGGCGGCGCACGGCGCCACTTACGGCTGCATTAGGATCAGCCACCCAAGTGTCACCGAACTGCCTCGTGCATCATTTCAGCTTTGTTCACCGTGACGGCGAGCCAATGGCCTTGGCCCACAGTGTGCTTTCACCCCCGAATGGCTTCGCCATGTCACAGCCAGACTCTTATTTCTGGGACACCTTTTAGGACCGACACCACGGATCATTTTTAAAGTCTTTTCCTGGAGCCATGTTTGTAATGGAATGCTTGACCTGCCTTATTGCAGCTTAGCGCTCGTGCTAATTGTCCCCAGCGACTCTCTGCATCCATTCAAGCTTCAAAACGCAGCTCACACACGTGTTCTGACATAATTGTTTCATGAGTGCACTAGTGTATAGCTGTTATTACAGTCTGGAAGCGGAACGCTGGAAGCCATTTCATCATCTTCTCTGAGCAAGTCATCACCACAGGCAATAATGCATTTTCCTCGGTCAGCGTGTGCTCGCTCGCAAAATATCTCACGATCTTCTACGTGGACTTTAATAAAAACTGCTAAATTTAATCATCTGTAATCTGCAACTTATTGGATTTTGGTGTCTACATCATTTAAGATGACGACACAGTTAACAGATCTTAGTAAACAGAAAAAAGCTGCATTTAGCTGATTTAGAGCCAGTCAGAGCAATCATTGATCAGTTTCACAACACAACAATATAACAATATAAATGAATTTATTTGCTTTCATATGACTATTCATGAATTGGTAACTAAGCTGATTTGAACAGCAGCTTTGTTGTTCTAGTCTCAGGAATTCCCTCATTTAATGGAATGGTTAGAAAATCTGCCAAAAGTCCAACATTCACAGGTAGAAAGTGATCACGAGCAGTTTTAACATGTGGAAACTGTTGTTTTTGTTAAAAGTCTTTACATTTATGGACTCGTTCACATTGTCCTCCCACTCAAGGAGCTTTCTTCCAATATGACCTGAATCGGCACCACCATTACACTCTTAACCGTCCATTTCACCGTTTGCTAAATGCTAATTTATTCTAACTGTTGCTTTTATTTGTAGTTTTGATCACAACTACAGTAAATCTCATAGTTATTGGTTGATCTCATGAAATGTGTGGGCAAGTCAAAACACTGAAAGTGCTCAGTGAAACACTGGAAAGTCGTTCTCTTCAGATTTGACCTAAAAAAGGAGATGAAACTGGTGTTTGATGCTGAGCTCTCGGCTAATTTGTGAGATGAGCTTATTTCCTTTTACTAAATGTCTCAAACAGTCATCCAGCATTCATATGAGATGTTTGTCAGATGTTGAGGATCTCATGATGCATCTCAGTCAAGTAGTTTTATTTTATGGGATTCAGCTAAACCGCTTCTGTCGAAGCTGATGTGTGACATCTGGATGACCTCAAGCCATCTCAGGCACGGATCTGATTTCTGTTGTTTTGGAAGGCGTGGGTCTTTAGCGAACGCACCACCAGTGATGATATACGGCCAACCAGGTCCGGCGGCGGTATGACAGAAGAAACAAACGTGAGAATTACACAAAGCAAGCTGTTACAGCTCAATAACACAGGCCCATAATTGTCTCACATTTCAAAAACACACACGTGACGTCTCAACAGCCCTTGGTCGGGCTGCTTTTCACGAGGAAGCGCACCACACAAGGTGATCAGCATATGTTTCGTTGACATAAATTTAAAATTTATTGCCGTTGTCAAAAGTGACTGTTGGACTAAGTTGATTATTAACTGAGTTAAAGGCCTGGAAGAGTTTTATGAGAACTTCCTTAATGGCTACAGTCAGTCTGTTTCAAATCACCGTCCCTCCCTCCCACCTGACACACACACACACACACACACACACACACACACACACACACACCTCTCTGCTCATCAGCTCTACATTTAAGGTGGAAAAAACCATGGCACTGGTTCCACTTTGAGTGCCCGTAGTAAGTCTATCCACGCCTTATCAGGCCTCTGTCTGGGGGGCACAATGGTCAGATTGAGGAAGCCCACAAAAGGCTTTTGAAAGTCTTTGTGTTGTGTGTGTGTCGCAGCTTGCCACTTACGTGTGTTTTCCTCTTATCGGCGTGAACGTCGGTAGATCACGTATGACCCTTTTTAAAAGAAAGAAAAAAAATGTGGCTCTGCAGCTTTGCTCAATTGGTGGTGTCATTTGTGTGGATGATTTCACATTTACTAGAAGTAACCACTGATGGGTTTTTTATCTACCCTCAACACGACTCCATCCATCACAGGAAGCACGCTAGAGCGGTCTTCTGATGCAACATGATTGAGGAATTCCTGTGTGGAAGTGGCATTTTGTCAGTAAACCTGCATACATGTAGCTGTGAGTCCGTCACTACTGACTTGTGCAAATAGATGTTTGACTGGTGCTGGATGACACTAGTGGTGCACATTTATTTAAACTTAGATTCCTTTGCATTGTGTGAAGTTCTTAAATAAACACATGATTTTCTTAAATTAGGAAAGTCCTTCGACGTTGAAAGCAACAGAACAGGGTAGGTGCTCTAGCTTTGGCATTATTACCTCTCTGGGCCATTTTCTCCCACTCTTTTTGATTTTTACAGCATTTTTTGACCAATTTATTTGTTATTTATGCATAGAAATATGGAAATCGGAGAAGCAATACATTTTCATCCTAGCTATGCTAAGATTGGCGGTTAGCTTGAAAGACCGATAGCAAAAAGTTCCGTTCTCTTCAGAGTTCATTCACAGTTACATTTTACACTGAATCAAGTCTTTGGCAGTCACATGTCAGAGTGGGCGACATCTCTGAATGCACATGTTTCCATGTGACGTAAAAGGGACTGGCCTTTTCCCTGCCTACTTTCTTTCAGTGGCTAATGCGGCTAATGCGGCTGAAGGCTATTTTCACAATCAACGTGCGAATCTGGGCGTGACCAATCCCATTTTTAAAGGAGCAAGTGTTACACGTTTCTTTGTGAACTTCCACGTGAAACACCATCAAAGTGTCTTTTCAGTTGTCATCCTCACCTTTTGGGGTCCTGCTTTAAATTTTCGGATTGTCTAAAACGTCATTAAATGATGCCCTCCGCCCAGTTTCTGGGATGCTACACAGGAAATAATAATGAGCATTAAGCCTGACAGCTCCACTCCTGCAGCCATTGCCAAAGAAAGCGCTACTCTCTCACTCAGCCTCTGTCTCTCTCGCTCGCTCGGGCCGCAGAGAGCTGTAAATCAATTTGCATTTGACATCTGACATCAATCAGTCATGTTTTGGGGAGAGTGGCACCACCTCCTCCTTGGAGGCTTTGCTGAGCGTTCCTAAGACGGATGGCTGTCATCTCACCCAAGTTGAGCGGATCTCTTATCAAGGACGTTGTTTCCCCAGGAATACCCTTGGCTGATCACTCTGTGCCACCGGACTCCGTGGTGGGAACCGTGAAATCTGTTTGACGGTGTCTCGTTTTGGCAGCCACAAGCATCCACTCGCCAAAGTCTTGAATCTCTCTTTGCATGTAGAATTGTCGTAACGCCACCTTTCACGTTTTTGATCGCCCCGTCATCATCGAGCTGCTCCAGAACTTTGCTGTGTAAAAGGTGACCTGCGTGGAAGATTAGACTGAAACCGCACCAACTTGACAAACGATCCTCACAATTATGGGCGTGTGCGCCACTCAACATGAAGTATTTGAAGCATTCGGAGGGCTTAAGGCGCCGTGGCAGTTGTTTGGCAATTCATGTCACCTTAATTGCTTTAGAGTACTTTCAGATATCTCCCAAGAATAATATAGTTTGCACTGAGCCGTGGGGTCTTTGAGGATTTTGTAATAGAGGTGGTTGTAAGAGTAGACTCTGTTATTTAGTTACCTGACCTTCAAGGCCTCCACTACATAATCAAATATTGACCCTTCCTCTCGTCTGACCTTGTTTGCCCAAACTGTGTTCAGGTTAATGACTGACCATTTGGGAATGGACAATTTATTACAGATAAGACTTCTCATCACCTCGTAAAGCCACAAGTTGTTTGCCGCATCTTTCTGGCAGCGTGCTGTAATAAATAAATACTCTTCATTTTACAGAATGTCGTTTTTAGCATCTTTGAAACTTGTCGGAGTTGGTGATGACCCAGACGCGTATTAGAGTTCTGATTTGGTATTTGAGGAACCGCTCCACCATTGGCACTTTGGTGATAAAATGTTTGTTTTGCTTCTCGTCAACAGAAAAATGCACAGTGGAATGAAGACCTACAGCTGTGAGTTGTGTGGGAAGAGCTTTCTGGACAGCCTCCGTCTACGGATGCATTTGCTGTCTCATTCAGGTAATAAAAGATAAATAAACGCACACAGGTTCCTACGAATGTTCCGCTGGACCAAAATCTTTAAACGATGGAGAGTTTATCACAGCCAGTCGATGCGACACAGACCTTCTGTCAGGAGAGACATGAATACTATGATTGTATAACCGTGTTAAACGCAGGAGTCGCTACACGCTGCAGTGATTCTTCTTTTATTGACATGGTTTATATGAATGTGTTCCTCTGCTGTGTAAACAAACGGCTCTGGCTGAGCAGAGGTTTTCCGAACTCATGCACAAAACTAGGTAATGAGGTGAGAGGTCAGAATCTGTTGGTGCAGCCCCGCCCACCTTGTGAAGCGGAGCTGAGTAAAGGATACTGAGCCAAAGAGGTCATGAGCCAAATGTTTGGACACATTCATTTTAATCTTTTAGATGATCGATGTCATGGTACGCTACACACGTGTGTTTGTTGTAACAAACAGTAGAAGAGACACACGGTAACATTGAAGAGAAATACAGGGGTAGTAGTTCATTAAGTTACAGAAACAAAAATAAAAAGATTTTATGAATTATATGAAATTATTTAATCCATTTTGTCAAATCTTGAAACTAGCAGGCTTTCATCCATCATCTGACATTTAATTACTTTAATTTTTACCCGAGTTATTATATTGGATTATTTTCAGTGTGCCTGAAAACTAAGGATGCAATCTGCTTCCCAGTGAGTGCCTAAAGGTTGGTGTTCTGTCAGATTTAGAGGACTTGGTTGATATAAAAAGACTCACACATGTATATATATATATATATATATATAGACTCACACATGTTGTTGCTTTACTCACTTCCACTATGCTTTTTAAAGGGGACATGTTATCGTTTTGTGCTGTCAAATGGCTATTAACACTCCAAACATGAAAACAGACTGCTCATCCATTTTCTGTCCGTGTTTGGCTTTAGGAATTATGGGCTTAAAACAAGCTGTTTCAAAAAATCCCCATTTGTGATGTCACAAATGGAGATTTTTTGAAATGAGAATAGAACCACCTCTCATGTGCAGGAGAGGTGCTGAAGGAGAAGCGGCTCTATTTTGAGCCACTCCAGGATGTCAGAGCTTCGCAGGTTATAGCAGCCTGAGCTGGGGATTGGTGGGCGTGGCCAGTAACAGAGCACTGATATGACACATTATGGAAGGTACTATACATCCATCCATTTTTGACCACTTATCCGGGGTCAGGTCACGGGGACAGTAACCTAAGCAGAGAGGCCCAGACTTCCCTCTCCTCAGCCACTTGGACCTGCTCTTCCAGGGGAACCCTGAGGCGTTCCCTGGCCAACCATGAGAAGTAGTCCCTCCAGCGTGTCCTGGGTCTTCCTTTAGGTCTTCTTCCAGTTGGACGTGCCCGGAAAACCTCCCCAGGGAGGGGTCCAGGAGGCATCCTAACTAGATGCCCAAGCATCCCTAACTGGCTCCTCTCGTTATGGAGGAGCAGTGGATCTACTCCGAGCCCCTCCCGGATGACCGAGCTTCTCACCCATCTCTAAGGGAGAGTCCGGACGCCCTCCGGAGAAAGTTTATTTTGGCCGCTTGTATCTTACATGTCATTGTTTCGGTCTGGAAGGTACGAAAATGTCAACAATAAGACCGCCCAAACTGCTTCTGTGAGAGGGAGTTTATGCAGATAACTAACTTGTATTTGATCAACCATAGAACATTCTAACTTCAGAAAGACAAGTTGTCATACGTCCCTTTAAAGAGTTCACTGTAGTAACTCTGCAGACGAGTCCTTCTGCGCGTCTGCAAGCCACAAATCCAATATTCCATATTCACCTGAAGATAGACTCCAGTAGGGTACGTTACCGGTCCAGAAGAACGCATTCAACACTCTCAGTGGTTCGAGTGCTCCTCCCCACCCCACCCAAACTCCTTCAGCCAGTAGGCAGATAAGAATAATTGCTAGGATCATGTGTTTGTTCATATCTCACCAACAGTTAAACATTGACTGACATTGATGCTGACACTCTCGCTCTGTTATGACAAAGATGAATGACAAACTCACGCTGTGCCAGTGAATTGGCTCCGCACCGGTTCAGTGTGTCACCAGCAAAAGTTGCTCCGAGCAAATATTCACTGTTTATTTTTAAATTACAGCCCAGTTTCGCCATCGCCGCCGCACACACATGCAACAACCCCCCCCCCCCCCACACACACACACACACACACACCCCACCACCATCATTTGTCAAAGCAGACGGACAAAATGCTGCAACAAGAAAGTCAGACAGTGAATGCTTAGAGACTTTATTGCACACGTGCCTCCCAGTGTGTGTCCAGTTATTGTATATGTTTCCTCAGACATGTCTGGCTCTGAGGCAGCTGCTGTGCATGTAATGTCACACTGCGGCTAATGTAAGCATGTAGGGGAAGTTTTCTTTGGAGTGAGTGCAGACAGGGAGTTAGCGACTGCAAACCCTAACCCCCGAACCTCGGCACAACTCTCAAGAGTATGTTTGTGCAGCTTTGTTCCAGCTGGAAATGTGAATCAGCAAAACATTTCCCCACTCAAATGGTGTTCTGGTGTATAGGACTTTTCTCTTAAGTTATTATAGTTCTATGGTCAATACAAAGTATATTCATAAAAGTCTTTTGACTGAAGGCCTCTCACAGCAGGTTTATTCTTGACATTTTTAGTACCTTCCAGAATGAGCCATTTCTTCTGCCGGCTCTTGGAGGGTGCAGACGCTTTTCTTCTCCTCTCCTCCATATCTTATCCTCAAGGCCCTTTGTCTGTCTCCGTGTGCTGGGTGCACGGCTGCTTCTGCATTTTTTCTGGAAACTGAAATTTACTAAAATGGATCTCGTCAATTGGTCACTCAACGCGGTTGATCAAATGTTTTCAACGATGAGAACGGGAGAAGGGGCTCCCGGATGCCCCTCCGGGACAGACCAGCTGTCTGTGGAGGACTCTGAAGACGTGTGGATATTCGTGGTGTTGGTGTCGGGTTTCCTGCTGATCGGCCTTGGAGGCTTCCTGGCTTACCGGAAAATTAAGGAACTGTCGAGGAATATTGGCCTGATCCCCGAGCTCAGAGATGGATTGCATGGCGCTGTGAAATCACAGACTCACATAATTGTTGAGACGAATCGTTTGGAACTTTGTCCAAGATTCATTCATTGGCACAAAAGATGGATGCCATCAAGGAGAGAGTGGACGAATCAGCACGGATTGGGATAGTTTAACATCCATTATTGGATTTTGAGAGGCTGAGGACCAACAGACTGTAAGACAGAGAGGAAATTATCTCTGTATGGCCCCAAAACAATTTCTAATCGGAATCTGGCGTCCTTGATCCTGCAAGCTGGAGCTGGCCCCGCCCACCCATTCCTGAGAAGATTTAATATTTTAAGAGGGGCTAGGAGTAGAGCCACTGCTCCTTCAGTAGCAGCTCTTCCACGTGAGAAGCAGTTCTGTTCTAATTTCCATTTTTGTGACATCACAAATGGGAACTTTCTCAAACATCTCGTTTTAGTCACGTAATTCGTAAAACCAAACACGGAAAAAAATTGATGGACACTTTTTTTTCATTTTTAGAGTGTTTAGAGAGGCATTAAAGACCCGCATGGCAGCACAAAGTGATGTTAAAGGTGAGCTTTGCAGAATACGCCCTGTTTAAAGCACATTTAGGTCCCTTTATTGCATCAAGATGCACTGACCGTAGTCGAAGAAAAAACTAATATATTAAATAAAATCTTGATTCTTATCCTTTAATTTGTGTTGCTTAGTGATTTTTCCTTATTTCAACAAAAAAAAATCTAATTTTTTGTTTTTTCTCACTGTCAGCAAATTTTCTGCGTTGCTTCATGTTTTAGATGAGAAAATGATAAATGCATTTTCGAGAGGAGGGAAGCAACGGTAAACTGAGATTTGAAGGTTAAGTAACTAAAAGAAAAATCCAAACAACAAGAAAATACAGCATGTGCATGACCCTGTAGGGTCCGTGTCTCTGCAGAACATCAGAACCCTTTTTTATCGCAGGTTAATGACGACTCGTAGCTGTGAGGAGATCCGATGGAAGAAACTCTAGGAAGACCCACACACTCCACCATGAGAAGAGGCAACTGAGCGGAGGATGTGGGCAGTGTATTTTTAGCTTCGGTGGCAGCAAGTGCACAAACTTTTTTTTTCCTCTTTCCAAGCAAGGCTGTCTCGATGCATAGCATCACCCTGCACGGTTACACACATCACTGTTGGTTCACGGCCGCTTTAGTCTGGCGTAAAAGGCAACACAGGCGCTTCTGTCGAGACAGTCGGCGGTTAGGGAAGAGGCAGCGCTCAGGCAACGCTTCTTTGATAGTTTTTGTTGTTTTTTCTTCTTTTTTTTTGCACTTTTTGCTTCTTTTCTCTTCCTCCGCCTACACCATTCGACTCTTAAGGTTTATCCTCGGTTTGACACCACGTCTCTTTGTAAAGACACTTCGCCGAGTCCCCAAACCCTCAGCTTCAGCCCTCGCCCTCCCCGCCACACACACACACACTCGTCCGCCGCCATCATCCTTCAGCTCGCTTCACATAAGACAGAATATTGGGGAGATAAAGCGAGAGAGCGGCGAGGCTTCTTGGTATGCGCGTCATGTCGTGGATGTGGAGCATTTCAGACGCCGCTGCCGACACCTCCTCCCTCCCTCTGTTCTGCTCACCACTCTGTTGCTCACGTTCTGTCTGTCTGTCTGTCCTTCCGTCCGTCTGTCTCTCCATGCTTGTTGTACAGAGGACTTGGCAGCTTGCCGGTCTGGGCTTCCTGCCACCGTTGAGGGTACAGTATGTACAGTCTACCTTCTGCCAGCTATTATATTTTGTCTTCCTGTCTTGTTCTGTCTCAGGCCAGGTTTGTTTTGTTTTGATCTCCACCTGACGTTTCATGTTTGACAGCCTTTGCTGAGCCACGGCCCGGCCCGCCTGTGGAGAGGGTTGAGTTCAGGAGAGCTCTGACTCACACCTTTGGGGTTTTTATTTTATAGTTGAT